AGAACACAGAGTCTCTGCTAACTCTGTCGATAAAGGATCTCCCAAATTCTTAAGCAGGGACCATTTCCATTCCCCCCACCCCCACCCCCCACCCCCCGTTACTTGCTTGCGCTCTCTTCTTCGCGTACTTGAAACACCACATTCAGCCCAAAAGAACTTGGAAGAAGCCAACTGCTAATTTATGTATGCTACATTCACCTCGGAAGAGGCAGGAGAATTCTTCAATCAGGAGCCATTATTAAAAATAAAGAAAAATCAAGCTGCTTGAAATTAACCAGGCCAAGTGGCCATACACCAGAAGCATAGATTTACCAGGAGACGTTTGGTGAGACTATTCTTTGGAGCCTTAAAGTGCAGCATTGCTATAGTAACGTCTGCAAAATGCTGTGAAAAATCTTGAGCTTTGGGGACTCAAGGTCAGAGATGCTAAACGGGCCATCTACTTCTTCACGGTGTCTTGGAGATCTAAACTTCGTTTTTGTTTTTAAAACCTAGAACCAGGCCGTGGCACTGGTCTCAAATGACCGCAGGGGCCACTGTGCTGAGGGAGGATGTCCCTACCCTGGTGGTGCTGCTCTTCTCCTGGTTGACTTGGGAGGGGTCCAAACCCATGATTTTGAAGGGACGGCCCACCCCTGGCAACTGGGCATCAAGTCTGGAAAAAAGGAAAAAAAACGGCAAGGAAACGAATGACCCCGGGAAGGCTCAAAGCCACAGGGGGAAATGTCCACAAAATAAGAGTCCGTGACAAGGTGACAAGGTGGCCGACCAGTCCGCGCACAGGAGCGGCGGGCAGACCACCCTGGTGAATGGGAGCCCACCTGCCCGCTCAGCAGCCAAGACGACCAGGGAAAGGAGAGGGCCCGCCTCTCCTCACAGTGTCCCTTTCGAGGCCCTGCCAGCCAACACAGCAAAGCTTCCGGCAAGCTGACCCCGAACAGGGAGCGAGCAAGGCAACAGAGGGGGGCACGGGCAGAATGACAGCCCCCCCACCCCCACCAGAGACACCCGAGTTACAGGACTTGCCTGAAGCAGCAGCCGGCGCACAGCAGGGTGGGGGACACCACAGGTCGAGTTTCCTAGTTTCCTTGATTTTGGATGAATTACCAGAAAAAGTTGTGGGGAAATGATTTTAAATCTAGCCCACTACGTCTGGGGCCTGTCCATCTCTCTAGCAGGTAAGCATTGTGCTGTCTTCGGGTGGCTGGACCACGTGCACATCCATGACCGCCCCGCTGTGCAGGAGGTTGGCGTGTGCGTGTGAAGGCACTATAGCGGTTTGAGAGAAACTGCAGGCAGCGACCCACACACTCCCCTCACTGGCAAGTGGCAGCTTTCTTCCCCCCGGGAGCTTGGGTGTCTGCAAGAAGCTGTGGTCAGGCTAGGGAATTCTGACACTGGGCCCCCAAGAGGAAAATACAAAAGGAGAACACAGGGTCGCCCCAAACCGACAGGGTACACTCCCCCTGTCCAGCTGAGGGGAGGGGACAAGTAAGCAGCAGATCGTCAAAAAACAGCAATTAGAATGAGCACGACAGTAGCTGGGAGCGAATCAAAGTACACGTCCCTTGTTCTGTATTCGCTTCTTCGCGGTCTCCGCCTCCCCCACGACCTGGTGGAGGTCAGAAAAGCATTCTTCATCAACAGGACAGGCCACAGAGTCCTTTTCCCCTAGTAATGCCTACATGTAAAATTTGTTCCAAACATCATCAACCTGTAATTCCTAACTCTTTACATAGATTCTCAGCAATCCAAACTGAGATTAGAGTCCTCGTCTTTCTTTTCGCTCTCTAAGCTGCTGTCTTCCTTCCTTTTGTTCCTGGTGTGGGAAGGACAGGCAGAAGGTTTCCTCTGAAAACAGGGCCCTCCCCCAGCCCCGCCAAAAAAAAACTACCAGGGGAAATTTCGGTTTAGTCTTAAATGTAAATGGTAAAGAGGTGACAGTATTTACATACACACACACCAAACGTCTCCCATTAAATCAAACACAGTTCCAAATGAATCCATGGCAGAGCTCTGAATAAAAGCTCAGTCCTTCAAGTCCTGTGGTTTTGAAGCTCATGAATTCATTGGTCGCTGCTCAATTGATCGTTTTTTTAAAAAGATTGCTTTCTATAGATTTTAAAATGCGTGATCTGCAGTAGTAGACAACCACATTCGGAGACTTTTCTTTTTGAGTTAAAAAGGAAAAAAAGGGTTTTTTTTCTCTTTTAATTAACTTTTTGAAGTTTCAGGAACTTGTAAAGTTTATCAACAGCAAAGAAACAGCCATTAGGCTAGGATAAGATACGGTTAGATAAACCATCTTCGAAAAAACTGGCTTCCTACCCCAGAATTCCTGAGAATACTTGCAAAGTGTAAAGCAGGAAAATAAACGTTAAAAACAAAAACAAAAATCAACCAAAAAACAAAAAACCAAAACACTGTTAAATGCTCCCAGAGTTAGTCTTCATCTAAAATATATATTTATATGTATATATATGTGTCTGTGTGTATACATATATATACACGCGTACTTTTTGGTCTTTTTTTTTTTTAAGTAAAAGTTTTTTTCCCTTTAAGCTTATGATGGAAGAACATTTTAGCTTCTCCTGTTTATTTTTACAAATTTCAAATCCCTCAGTATGTCTTGTAAACAAGAGGGGCTCTAGCACCCGGCTTTCACCGTAGTATCGTAAGGAACTCAACTAACCCAGAGTGCAGGTCAAGGAACAACAGGCAGGTGAGGAGGACAGGCAGGACGGCAGGGGAACAAGAGGCAGTGGATGGATGGGGGTCTCCTCAGGCCCACGGGAGCCTTGGGTTCTGCTCCTGAACCAGGGATACTAAGCTTTTACCTTCGGTAGACGCTGGAACGCAGCTGCTCTTCCCCTGGAAGTCAGCCCACGGCAGGGCTCTGCTCAGACAGTCGGGACACAAGCAGCAGGGTGGGAAGAAGATGCTTGTTTGTGGGCAGAGCAGGAAGGGGTGGTGGTGATGGAAACGGGCGAGCAGGAGGACAGCTCTTGTCCTACAAGGCATCCATGGGACCAAACCAGACACTGCAAACTCAAGCTTGATGGACCGTCTACCCTCCAAAGGTCAGAAAGACTTGGATGGGCGAGTGCTCATTTGCACGATGCATGTCAATCTCTTTCCGGACTAGGTTTATAGCAGGGTAAGCCAAGAAGACGACCGTTTCCCATGTGTCTCACAAAACCACTTCCGTGCAAAGAATGCGGGTTTTTTGTTTCTGTTTTTGCCTTTTCCTATACATACCCCCTCACGCACAGGCACGCGCTATGAGCCCAAGACATTAGGCATCGCTGTATCCTTCACTGAAGATGGGAAAGAAAGAAAAACTCCCTTGTCCTCACTAGCAGCGAGTCACCAAGGACAGTGGAGGTCTGCTCCCACCAAGGGTTGGAATGGGCAGGTATTTGCTGGTACAGAGTGTCGGCACTTTATGTTGAAACAGTATAATGCAGACGCGGGATGTGCACACACGTGGGAGCTCCAGTGGCCACTTCCTCCCCCACCCCCGCCCGACATCTGCCTTCTTGTAACAGGCGACCCCTCCAGGTCTGAGAAAACTCTCTTCACAATAAGCAGTTTGATACATGTTGATTCCAACATCAGTACATACATGTTGGTGATAACTCTGGATTCAAAGTTGCCCCTAGTCTGCCCAGAGTACTACTACATTGACGCTTTAAAAATAGTCTTTAAATACCAAAAATTGTTTTAAAAGCAACATTATATAAGGGGGAAAAAAAGTTAAAACAAAACAAAAAAAGGTGCAATACTTAAAAAAGTCTTTGCTAAGTTATACCTGCCTAAGCAAAACCACGTACACAGGAAAACACAACACAGAGAAACAAAAGGAAACGCTTGAAGTACACACTGGTTTAAGAACATTCGTTGAGTAAACGTTTCTGTCAGTGATGGCCGGGCGCTGTACCGCACCGCGGCCTGGCACAGGTAACGCGCAGCGAGGAGCAGAGGGAGGAGCTGCGGGCCTTGCAGGAGGCGGCGCCCGGCTTGTCCACCACATGCGGGCGGGCGGGCAGAGGGTGGCAGAGGGACGACAGGGCGCTGCAGTCCGCATTACCTGATCTTGCAGTGGATGTCTCAGACCGGGTCGCACAGCTGATGAAGCGGCAGGAGAGGGGAACCTGGCGTGTTCTGCCTTTGAGGCGGTTGTCTGCTGCCTTTGAGACGTTGAAGCAATCCAAAGCGCTCTCCTCCTCTCCGGTTCCGCGCCGATTCATCAAAGGCAGCGGACAGTCAGCTGCGCCTGGTGGCCACTTAACTTGAAGAACCACCGAAAACAAAACAAAACCCACACTGGAAAGAAACCAGCACACTGTTGCTTCCAGAGGGGCTCCTGCTCTCCTTCGGGGTTTGGACTTGGCAGTGCTCCTGGACCGCAGGCTGCGCCCAAGGGAGGCAGGAGGCGGTGGAGACGTGGCCAGGGAACCGACCGGTCAAGGTGCGCGCCATCGGATTGCGTTCCTCTGGCTCGAGGTGGCCCAGCGGAGATGCTTCCGGCTCCGTGGTGTTCTCAGAGTTCAACCACCACCACCACAGCCATGGCCGGCCGGCCAGCCTGCATTCTACCGGCACTGCAGCTTTCTGAGAAGTCAGGTGGGGGCGGGAAGGGGGGGCGAGGGCCAGACACAGGGGCACGCGCACGCACACGCACACAGAGACAGATGCACGCGAATGCACATGAACACACGTGCACACACATACCAGAACGTGCATGCCTGGGCAGTTACATGTGCCAGAACACACTGGTATTTATCAACCAGCCAATCACAAATTTTTTTTCCTTGGTTACTTTTTTTGTTGTTTTCTTTTTCTTTTTTTTTTTTTTTAAGGTTTTTTTCTTTTGTGTGTTTTTGTTTTTAAAGTGAGGCTCCGTCAAGTCTTCCCTCCACCCCCACCCCAACAATTCTTTTGAATTCCCCCCCTCCCCGACATGGTAGACCTAAGGACGGAAACACACCCAGTGCAAACAAAGTTAAAAAGCTATTTTTTTCAGTATATATGTTTCTTAGCAACAACTTCCGTATAACATGAAAAAAGTGAAAAACTAGAAACTAATTTTTTTTAATTTTTTTCGTGTTTAAATTTAAATGGTATGTGTACTTGCTTCACATTGTCTTTCTAGGTTGGCGTTCATGATTCAAGTATTTCAAGAGTGATATGTTCTCTTTTGGATTCATATTCCAAACGAAAAAACTGAAGTTATAAGGGAGGCAACTATGTGCTCAGACAGTCTGTCAATGACCCACCTTTTTTTTTTTTTCCTCTCTCCGTTTTCTTTTTTCCTTTTAAAAATGTATTTATTGCAAGTTGAAAAAAAAAACGAAAAGGTCAAGTTAGTGCTGCTGCTGTTCCAAAAAAGGTCACGAGGTCAGAGTTGAAAGTTCTAAGTTCAGATTGAATCCGACCCTCCTCCCAGAAGGTCACCAGGTAGTAAAGAAGCAGGGCTGCCCATCCGGTGGGGATCTTCCACAGTCGGGACTCCCCACAAGCTAGAAGAATAGTTGGGGGGCCCCCACAATGAGGCGCTAGCCAGATCGGCCCCGCTGCTGCCGCCAGCACTGCTGTTCCACTGCCCAAGCCCAGTGGAGCCACCGAAGAGGTTCAGGGCCGGTCCCACGGGGTCTGACTGGCTCTGGCCGGTCTCCAGCGACTGCCACCCTGTGGCCGGTCCGCTTGGGGTTGCTGCCGGTGTCGGAGGCTGAGCTTGAGCCAGAAAGCGGCTCACTTCATCATCGGTGGCAAACTCAGCCAGGATGGTCGTGTTCCCCAACACACACCTGGAGGGGAAAAGGGGGACTTGAGGATAATCCTCCCACAGGCACAGGGACCTGAAGTCCATGGGTGCTGTCTGAACAGCAGCACCCACACCACAGGTTATCAGTAAGTCTCAAAACCCACCATGCTACCGGGATACTAGACAGAGACGAAGGGGCCCAGGTAGTTAGCGTTGGGCCAATTCGACATGGTAGGCAGTTCAAGCCCATCAGCTGGGGCTTGGGGGAAAGATGAGACTGTCTCCTTCCACCAAGATTTACAGTCTTAGAAACCAATAGAGGGTCACTGTGAATAGGAATTGGCTTAATGGCTTATGTACACATGAGGAGTCCTGGTGGTGCAGTGAATAAGCTGCTCGGCTGCCAGCCACTCTGCGGCTGGGAAGCGACAAGGCAGTTTGCTCTGCCAAGAGCCTTAGACACCCCACGGGGCAGTTCTATCTGTTCTACAGGGTCACCAGGGCTCAGAATGGATGGAGTGGCAGAGGGTGATATGTAGAGAGCCTCCAGTGTATGGAGTTACATGAGGGGGTCCCCAACCAAAATGGATTTTTTCCCCTCAAAGCTATGTGTTAATTTTTTTTTTACAAAATAACCATATCACCTTTAAAGTACTCTCCATTACACTCAATACACTTGGTCCAAGTCTGCAATTCCATTCTCAGAAACATTTTCAAACTCATCTGTCTGCATGGCTGACAGCACCTCCCTCGTTTTTATCTTCACCTCTTCTACGCCATCAGATCACTGTCCTTTCATGTCCCTCTTCATTCTCGGAAACAAAAAGAAGTTGCGCAGAGCGAGGTCAGGTGAATCAGGTGCCTGGGGCAACAGAGGCATGCTGTTTTTTGCCAAAAACTGGCGTACTGAGATGGCTGCATGAGAAGGTGCATAGTTGTGGTGGCAAAATCAGTCCCCGTCTGCCACAAATCAGCCCTGTTTTGTCACATACTGTTATGTATTCTTTTCATAACTTCTAAATAGAAAGCCTGATTAACAGTTAGACCTGGTGGAACAAACTCCAAATGCACTATCCCCCTTACATCAAAAACAAAACAAAGCAAAAAAACAAAGGAGCATCGTCTTGATTTTTGATTTCACTTGACGAGCTCTATTTTGGGCTGGTGATGGCTGGCTTGATTGAAGTTTGCTTTCACAGTTGTTAAGAACAGCACCATGTCTCGTCACCAGTAATGACCTTGGGAAAAAACCTGGGTCCCTTCGGAGCTGTTCTTTCAAAGCACCGCATGTTTCCACTTCATGCTTTTTTTGCTACCCAGTCAGAACCTGAGACACAAATTTCACAGTGACCCTTCTCATTCCCAAATCTTCTGTTAAAATTCGCTGAAACAGGCTCAAAGAGAGTCCAGGTAACTTCCCCATCTTGTCAGTCTTCCAGCACAAGTGTGTGAATTTTGTTGACATTTTTGCCTGTTCAGGAAGTTGACAGATGTCCAGAACAAGGTTTATCATCAATCTATACTTCGCCTTTTTGAAATGAGAAAACCACTTGAGTTTTTCCCATAGCGCTGTCCGTGTAAGCTGTGTTCAACATCACAGCGGTTTCTGCAGCATTTTTCCAGGAGCAGGAAACAAAATTTCAGTCACACGCTGTTCTCTTACCTAGGTGATGCTACTGTGTGCACTAACTCAGAACGAGTTGCTTGATGCTCATCTAGCTTGGCGGAGGTGGGCGGGGGGAGGGAGGGAGAGATGATGTGTACTTTGAAAGCTCCGCTAGGCAGAGATTTTTTTTTTTCCTGCTTTATGGGGGGAACCCTCTCGCATATTCCAGACAACATGGCCATCAAGAGTCTGTCAACTCACCACCCTGCATCATGGTAGGAGTTCTGGTGGCACCTTAAGTGCTCAGCTACTAACTAGAAGGTTGGTCGTTTGAAGCCAACCAGTAGCTCCACAGGAAAAGGACCTGGCTTCCATATACACATGGCAGCCAAGCAGATCCTATGGAGTAGTTCACCTCTGACCTCAAGGGTTGCTATGAGTTGACTTGATGGCACCTGGCAGCAATGTGGGAGGGTGGTGAAGGTTCTGTCCTGGGGTTGTTTCACCTGTCCCCGTGGGGAGGAAAATGGCACCCACAGAGCAACGTGGCAGCCCAGGCTTGCCCCTCCGCATGTGAGCTTAGTCTCAGTGCCGCCTCTGCAGCACACACTCGCTCTGTGGCTTTCTGTCCTGGCACCAGCGGCCAGCAGGAGTCACATCAGCCAGTCTGTATGAGGCAGTGAGGGGGGTGGTCGTGTTTGGCTCTACGACCACCTACCTTAGGCATAGCACTAGTTACCATAGCACAACACTACCTCACCACCTACAAAGAGGGCACAGTAGGGGGCCAGAATCTATTACCCAAAATTACAGCACTTGCAAACGTTCTCACGGGCACAAACGGCGCTGCAGTTGTGGCACTTAACAGGTACTCATGGAGCCACCAGTGCTTTGTTTGAAATTCTAATGACTGGCTGGCTGATGATCTACAGAGGTGGACCATCCTTGGTTAGGGAGGCAAGACCAGCAGTACTCACAATGTAGGAGTGCTTAGCATAAGCCAGAGTCTGCATGTGCTAGACTCTGGGGCTCTGGGCATGGGTACTCACATATGCAGTGCAGTCTGGGCCTTGGCCGCCTCCTGTTTGGTGCTGTATCGGATCAGGGCAGTGCCCTGCGTTAGGTTCAGATGGAATGTCAGCAGTGGGCCATGCTGCATGCAGATCGTTCTCAACGTTGACCCATCAATCTAAGGAACAGCAAGTGACACGCATGAGGCAAGAACTGGAAGGCTTGCTGGAGAGTGACAAAGACGTGGTTTGCGGACCCCTCGCACTTCAGTCTTGGAGAGGTGAATGAAACGCTCCAAGCAGGGGAGGCGGCTCGAGGAGTGAGGCCCTAACCGCAGATTTTAAGGTTGGCACACCCTGGGCTCATCCAGGTATACAGAAAACTGTGCGTGGATACTGCTCACAGCAAAAGGACCTCCTTTTACCTGGGGTGTGCTCTACTTAGGTCCAGAGTGAGTGTGGGCTGTCAGGGCCTTAGGCGGCAGAACCCAAGATTGTACCCAACTTCTCAGCATCACCGCTGATGGTGCATTCTGCCACCTCCCAGTTCATAAGCTGGCAAGGAGCTCAAGAGAAAGCCACTTCCAAGAAAGTTCTGCTGAACATCTGCTGACACAAATGCTGCTGGCTGGCTCCACTTACATCCACTTTGCCCCTCTTGAGGTCCTAACCCCACGTCTACCTCCTAGCCTTTGTCCTTGGCTGCCCTCAGGCGACGTCACCTTGGCCAACCTATACACGGGGATTCGTTTAGTTTCTAGCGAGATCTTAAGTAGGCTTATTTCAGCAGCGCAACTCCTTGCTGCGGGAAGGAGGCAGATGACGCCTGGAATGGCCCGAGATCGCTGTCCTTCTGGCAGCGGCAGTGGAACATTCTGCGGTCGTACCATGGAAACCCTGAAGGACCCACACCAGCAGCTGCTCCTTCGTTCTTTCTGGAGGCTGAGCCCAGCAACAGCTCTTGGCCTTTTGGGGGAGCGACAATTGATGGCACAAGACTGCCTGCCTATGCCACAGATGTCCGATACAACAAACTGCAGGTGGTGAGAAGTATTCAAGGTCTCAAAGAGCTGGCCCTAGAATCTTCTTTGGCAGTACACCAAGAGTAGTCTATTAAGTAGTTCTGCTTTTAAAAATACATCCACTGTTTCCAATACAAACACAGCCAATCTGCGTATGTATTTTGTGTACATAAAAACACATTCTTCCTATTCTGGAATGTGCTGAGGCAGAAAGGAACCCTGGTGAGCTTGCCCAGGCTCACTTCTAAACCCACTTCTTGGGCACAACCATGTCCTCCAGCCACCACAGTAAGTGACAGCTTTTTGGTGCTAGTCACACAATGTCTGATGATTTCTATCAAAACCACTGCCACCGAGCCGTTTCTGACTCAAAGCAACCCTCTCTGTCAGGGCCAACCTGCTCGAGGGCTTCTGAGATGCTCGCTCTTTTCAGACACCCACTGGGGAAACCTAAGAGTGGGTGTGTGAGCTGGGTTGGTTAGAGAATGAGGTTAATGAGCTGTGACCCGTCACCTCATGTCTTGGTTAAACTGTATTTAAGCAGCCTTTCCCCCTCAACATGTATAAGAGGGCTTCAAGGAGTTCCTGGAAAATGGAAGGAAAAGACAATAGAATTTTTTCACCAGCTTTTTGAATCTGTGATTTACTCCAACAAATGGGTTCATAGGGCAGAGAGGTTTGAGGGAGCCAGTAGCAGCTCCTCACCCCAGAGACGTGGGACACATGCCAGCATGCTACCATGTGAGCAGGCTCACGGTGGAGAGACCTGCTGGTTTTGTTTTACAACGTCAACATTCCAAACACAGGCAGCCAGAGACCTGTGCACACTGAGGGGCACTGTAGGGGATGCTGGCTAGTCAAGTGAGCCTGAAGCTGTGCATGAATTCAGTGCTGGTCACTGGCACCTTTGTGTCCCCAGGAGACACACAGTGGTTCCTTTGGCAAGATGCCCATTGACCCCGTATCAATGGGCACATTAGTAATGCCACCGCCATACAGAACAGAGGGAACTGAAAGCACCCATGGGGTCTTGACACTAATGAACCAACAGATTCCGTCGATAGTGGTGAGAGAAGGCTAATCCCTTATGAAGCAGAAAAAATTAGTATCGAGCCTAAAACACTTAAGTCTGATTGGAGAACTAGAATGGAAATAAGCCATTTCCTTAAAATGTGTGGTTAAAAAACACCTCCACCCCCACTCCTGCTGCCCTAGTGAGCAGCGTTATGGTTTTATCTCTGCTAACTAGAAGTCACCATTACAAGATCGCCTCTGCTCACTACTAGAGGCCAAAGTTCCAAGGATCTCCTGCAGTAACCAAGAGCTAGCTAAATGCTTTCCCATCTGCCAGCCATCCACCTCGGGATTCCCGCTATTATAATGGGACCCAGAGGTCTCAAGAGAACCCCTAGAGAGCAAGCCTGCTTACCTGTGGAGTGAGATTGTGAAGAACCAGCCAGTAACTAGGACAAACCGAGCCACCATCACTCCAGGTCGAGGCTGTGAGCAACCAGAAGAAAGATCAGGAAAAGTAAGAAAGCCATGAACAAGCCCTGCTTTCACATAGTCCACAAGGCCTCTCTGCTCCTATGATAAAATGTCTTCTCTCAACAATACCTCCTTCTGACCTTTTTTAAAATTAAATACTTTTATTGGAGGTTCTTACAACTCTTATCACAATCCACATATTCATCCAGTGTGTCAAGCACATTTGCACATATGCTACCACCATCGTTTTCAAAGTATTCCCTACCTACTTGAGCCCCTGAGATCAGCTCGACATTTCTTCCCCCTTCCTCCCCAAACCTTGATAAGTTATAGATTATTTTTTTCATATTATATCGTCCTCCGTTGCCCCTCACCCACTTTGTGTTGTTCGTCCTCTTTGTGATTGCTTCTCCCTTTCTACCCCCACCCTCCCCTAATCCTCCTGGTATCTCTACTCTCATTGCTGGCCCTGAAGGGCTTATCTATCCTGGATTCCCTGTGTTTCGGGCTCTTGTCTGTAGCAGTGTGCAGGTTCTGGTCTAAGGCGATTTTTAAGGCAGAATTGAGGTCGTGATAGTGGGTGGAAGGAAGCACCAAAGAGCTAGAGGAAAGTTGTGTTTCATCAGTGCTATACTGCACCCTGACTGGCTCATTTCTTTTCTGTGACCCCTCTGTAGGGGGAATACCCAATTGTCTACAGGTGGGCATTGGGTCTCCACTCCATGCCCATTCACTTTGGGTATGATTTTGTTCTGGGTCTTAGATTCCTGGCACTGATCCCATCGACACCTTGTGATTGCACAGGCTGGTGTGCTTCTTCCATGTGGGCTTTGTTGCTTCTGAGCTAGATGGCTGCTTGTTTACCTTCAAGCCTTTAAGACCCCAGATGCTATCTTTTGCTAGCCGGGCACCATCAGCTTTCTTCACCACATTTGCTTATGCATCCGTTTTGTCTTCAGTGATCATGTTGGGGAGGTGAGCATCACAGAATGCTGGATTGTTAGAACAAAGCGTTCCTGTGTTGAGGGAGTACTTGAGTCGAGGCCCAATGTCCATCTGCAACCTTAATTCTTAACATATAGATATGAGTACATAGTTCTATTCCCCTCTCGTTATATATTTCCATATGTACCTGCCTGCATTTAGGCCTCTATAAATATCCTTTGCCTCCTGGCTCTTTCCTCTATTTCCTTTTACCTTTCTCTTGTCCCACCATCATGTTCGGCCTTCATTCAGGTTTAGTAATTCCTCACTGCTACATTGTCCTTGATTAAGTCCCACTAGGCACCCTATGCCCTTTTCTCCATCGATTTTAGTTCACTTGCTGTTCCTTTGTCCCTGGTTTGGATCCCCCCCCAAAACCCTGACCTTTTCATCCTAAGTGAATACATTCTCTTCCACTAATCTCCATTCCTAGGGACCCCATGTGACTCTGCAGTCAGTCCTTCAGACTTTACCCATCCTCCTCGGGCTCCTTCGTCTCTGTGCCTTATACTGACAACACTGATCACTCTCGGATTTCCTCTCCAGCAGCGGTTCTCAACCTGTGGGTCGTGACTCCTTGTGTGTGTGTGTGTGTGTGTGTGTGTGTGTGTGTCGAAGGACCCTTTCACAGGGGTCGCCCAACTCATCACAGTAGCAAAATTACAGTTATGAGGTAGCAATGAAAATAATGTTATGGTGGGGGGTGGGGGGGTGGTGACCACCACATGAGGAACCGTATGAAAGGGTCGTGGCCTGAGGAAGGTCTCGGGAAGACTCCCTCCCATCCTCCCCGTTTGTGTGGACTAACAGAAACCCTCAGAAAGCAAAGCTGCCCCCCCACCTGGGCAGCCCCTTCTCACCTGAAGCCAGCCGAGAGTCCTGTGTCCCCCACCCCCTGACAGATCGGGGTGCTGTGCTGCTCCAGGGAGATGATGCTTTGGGGTTGGTCAGACCAGGAGGTGGGCGGGGCAGCGGTGTAGTGTTCCTTGAGGAAATATGGTTTTTCCACATCTTGTTGGAGAGATGAGTGGGGTTGTGTCCTATGGGATCTGGGGACCATGTTGATTTGTAATCAGGGAACTTTGCTAGAAGGAGAGAGAAGGAAGAAAGGTTAGACGGGTCACTTTGGCCCTCAAATGCAAGTGGGCATCAAGAAGTTTGTGGACAAATGAAATTGAAACCACAGTGGGTTTTTGTTAAGAACTTTTGGAAACCCCTTCATCTGCATAAATCCTATCTATACATGTGTCTCTATTATAAAAAGCAGTATTAAGCACAGACGGAAGGGATCACGTGAAGGGAAAATAAGACCAAGGCTATACATTCCTGTCTTCAGTGGGCTGAGCGACCTCGCACGGTGTGAAAACTCGCAGCAGGAGCCCCGAAGACAGCCCACTGCCCTAAAGGTCTCTACAAGCATGCAGAGTGACTGAATGCAAGGGGTGTTTTTGATGCCTTGATCTAGCTATACTCAATATTAACTTCAAACAGATGTGAGAAAAACAAACACGTAATAAATAGTCACTAAAAGCTCAGCATGCTTAAGGCACTAAACCACTGCTCTGGGTAAAATATAAACACTTTTCCTCAAGAAGCTCAAGTTCAGATGAGAAGGGAGAACAAAGGGCAGAGGCTTGGCAACAATGTATCCATCTGCAGACAACAGAGAATGTCGGGTGGGCTCAGAGAGCAGGGAGCCTTGCAAACAAAGGCTCAACTTTAACTCTCAATCCTCCCAATTCTGACTGAACAACATTGCATGGACACACCCGAAGCAGCCACGACATAGGGTGGAAGCAGAGTAAGACTCTGTAAGGAGATCCTTGCAGTCATTCAGCTTGTGGTAGTAACAGTCTAATGGAGAGTAACAGCAAACACCCCAAACTCCACTGCCATTATGTCGTTTCTGCCGCATAGTGATCCTACTGGACACGGAATAACTGCTCCATAGAATTTAGGAGACTCCATCTTTATGGGGACAATCTCATCTTTCTCCAGTGCAGAGGCAGGTGGGTTTGAACCGCTGACCTTGTGATTTGCTTAACCCACTGTACCACTAGTGTTGCTGAAAAATCCAATTGGCTTCAAGAGACAGAGGTGAGACATGACTTGAAGAGGCAACTACTGGCAGGACAGGGAGTAAGGGAAAGTCCAAAGTGGGAGGAATGACTGCCATCGTGTGACTGGCATGCTTGGCAGCAGCATTGGCCAAAGAGCTCAGTTATGAGGGAAGGCACTTGGAGGAGTGGGGGTGAGCAGTGCACTTTTGGTTTCTGACAAGTCCGAGGTGACTCTTGGGCCATCCATCAGGTGAATGCCCACCGGTAACCGACTCTAAGATGAACAGTTGTGTCTGAGACAGAAACCAGGAGAAGAGGTGGAGGTGAAAACAAGTTCTAAGTGCACAGGAAGAACCCTATGAAAGTACAACGCAGAGCAGTAGTCAGAAACAGGGAATTGTGAGTTGGCTCCTTTACAGTTGCTCAGCCTCGAGGCACAGGATAGTGGCTAATGCCAGGCTTCCTCATAGATGCCGGTGAAAGTTAAAAAAAGAGAACTCGCGCTGGAGACTTGGCATCATCCCTGGCCTGCCAGAGCAGTCAGTAATTGGTAGATATTGTGGCACTGCTGATGTGATATGAGCTGGAAAGAGAGGACAGTGCGTAGGCCATTAGCCTGTGGGATCTTCGGAGGCAGCTAGAGCTTGGTTTTATTTGCTTTTACACAAAGAAGGAACAAACCCTAATGGCTTTCATGGCTTTCAGGTGAATCTTTTGCAAAACCGAGGTGATTTGTCTACAGCTCTATGCGGCATTGTGCTGGATGAGTAACTTCAAGGGCTGTATTATAGCTGTCAACTTCTCATTCTTACTGGAAGAAAAACAGCACACACACACACACACACACACACACACACACACACACACACACTTCAACAAAGGTGGCTGGCAGAAGTGAAGTCCTCTCTATTCCTTTGGCTATCTTTCCTTTGTCTCCGTCTATGGTCTACGAGATAGATTGTTCAAGGAACGAACACTATACTTGGCTGCCGTGGCAATGACTTCTACCAATCCCATTGGCTCTTCTCATGGCCCTTGGTCTTGCTGGCCGATGGGTGAGAAGGAAGACACTTGTGGCACTATCAGGACATGACCTCTGTCTTCTGAAAACCCACAACGCCTTTCGCTCACCTGTGGTATTATCTGCCTTGTCCTAAAGTTGAATTTATCTCCTCCTTGTGGGAAACCAGTCTGTGCAAGCTACTCAGCTAAACGAACGGTTAACTTTCACACAGCAGACAGAGAAGGGCACCAAAGTGAGCAACTTTGGGACCATCTACACTGACTTACACTTCCTCAACTTTTGTAAAAGTGTTCCTTCTTTTTCAAAAAGATCACTGTTCTGTTACATGTTGTTATATGTTTTCATCATCATTTTCAAAGCATTTTCTTTCTACTTGAGCCCTTGGTTATCAGCTCACTTCCCCACTCGCCCTCCCAAAAGCATTTCTTAAAGACCAAGTCTACCTGTTTTCCTAAAAAGGGATCTGATGGGAAATGATAACAGGTGACACTCATACCTGAAGTGCTATGAACGTTGGTAAAGGAGTTGTCAGAGGCACTGTAGGGCCAGGCACCAGGTGAAGGCAGCGAGGTGTTGAGGGAAGAATTAGACCCTTTGTATGACAAATGAAGAAGAAAACAATGCATATAAATGTAGGCATAACCAGTAGGTTCTTTAGAGTGTTCAATTTAACGTTCGGGAGAAAAGAGAATGAAGGGAAAAAGAAGTCTTTATCAGATAAAATGCATAAAGCTACAGCTTCTTGTTTTTGGGGTAAATAAGCAGGTAGCAGTAAATATAGAAGGCACAGACTGACACCTAGGGAAAGAGGGGGTGGTGACCCAAGGCATGGCAGTGCCACTCCTTTACCTGTGGTGTTATCCCGCAGAAGCTGGTGGTCAGTGTCTACAATGGGAGATGTGGTTGTACCCCCCAGCACACTTCCTGGGGTGACATAAGGGTCGGATTCAGGGTCAATGTTTTGGATACCTTTCCATGGCACTCCTGGTTGGAACTCTGAGACAAGAACAACAAATAATCAGGGTGAGGTGGTGTTCAAAACCCGACAGCTCTTTTTTTGTCATAAGCAATGGGTCTGTGAACATGAGTTTAAGCTTGCTTTATTTTACACTAGATTTTCATTACAAAGCTAAAAAGAATCAGCAGGTACACATCCTCAACTGAAATCCCCGCCTCCCTCTGATGCCCTTGACATTGCCGACCTTCTGTCTGCCTCTGGTGGTGACTTCAAGCCACCACTCATCACAGTGACCTCAGGCACGTGATCTTCCTGCGTCTAGGGAGAGTAAGGCCTGAAGGTAGGAAAAGCAGGATTTGGTTCCTAATGCTCCTAATAACTGTCCAGGCAGCTAAGTCAAGAACCGGGATGGAGGATCAGGGAGTCCTCCCATGTTTCTCACCAACAACTGGCTGAGAATCTCCGCTACACAGATGTCTAGGAATAGCATGGCCTATCATGTCAAATGCCTGGAATATATCGGGAAGTTATCCCGTCCCACCAAAAAACTGGGGGTAGGTGTTAATTTAAACCACAGTTAAAGCTACATGGCAGAATGAACAAACGTTCACTTTCCCATTCATGATGAGGAAGAGCAGTATGTATTTAATGAGTTTACGTTAAAATGAAAATTCACTCTGGAGATGTCTATCCCAAATATACAGTACAGAAAGGTCTGGAGGAACAGGTCTTCACATGCTTCGAATTAGGGGGTTTTCATTTAATTTTCTAATCTTTCCACAATGAAGATAGATTTGTGTCAATAACAAAAACAAACGTAAAGCTGCCCCCACACTTCACTGTACCCACTACTGCCTATGTGCAACCTAAGGAAAGTACTTAATGAATAACCAAGTCAAGTTGGACACCCCCAGAAACCAGGTTCTAAGGCATCCTGTCCCCGGGACGGGTCTCAAGTGCCAGGTCAGAGTCACCTTCCTTGACTCCCAGTGCCACTCCTCCCGGCAGAATTTACCACAGCAACCTACCATGGAGGTGGCCAGAGTTCACATCTGGTCTCCCTGACTGAATGCTAGGACGAGAGCCCCGGTGAACAGAAGCTCCCGGTCTACCCACAGCACACAGCTCACGCCTAGCTTTTGCCACCATTACTGGAGAGAAGAAACAACTCTTGTGCCCTTAGGATAAGGTGGGTTGCAAAAACCACACGTTCAGAGCCTGAAATGAAAAATGGAAACACAAATGCTAGCTTTGAAAAGGCATTTCCGGAACAGTACCTGGAGGCCAACTGGCATTGCTGGGTTTACTTCCGATTTTACTTGTGGGTGGAGACTTGGCAGGTAACCAGCTATCACCAGCAGGACCCGTATGGCCACCCAGTGTGTCACCTGGGATGATATCAAACTGGTTGTACGGCGACCCTCCTCGGGTTTTACCAGGGGCCACGATAGCGCCTGAGAAAGGAGAGATAAAACTCATTCACAAATGGGTCCACGGGACAGAACATGTCACCCTTTCTGTTCTGAGTAACTCAAACGAGCACAGTTATCTGGAGGTCTGTGCGGTCCAGAGGCCCGGGAGAGGAGGTCTCCGAGGCTCAGTTTGGCGTGACCAAGCAGCAAGACCAGGAACGATCCACTCCCCCCGTCTGGAGCTCTCTGCGTCTCCCTTACATACTTGAGATCACTCTAAAGCACGAGCACGTCTTTCCAGTTTACAGTTCTCTGTCTTCTGAATTACAGAAATGCTCACAAACTGCAGATGATCCCACCACGATCCCCAGTTTCTACGCTAATAATTCAGGGAAAAATATGAATAAACAGCTGGCTGTAGACAAGAGGACTTTTAAGTACATTTCTACTGATGGGTTCCACCCAAGTCATTCCGTGCTGAGCAGGCTGCGTGGAGCCAGGAGACCCAGGGTAGAGAGGCAGTCCATCTGAGAGAACAGCATCTGTAATTGCTTTAGATTCCCAAGCAATGAGCTGGAATTCCCGTCCGGGTCTATGCCAGCATGGATCCAGCAGTTAGCGCCACTGCTCCGGGAGCCAGGGCCTCACAGGCAGAGAACAGCAAAGCCTTTGTAAGGGTTTTCCTGAGAGCACTTCGGCGATTCTGTCAGTGCCCCGTTCTTGTACATAGTATAGGCTATGGGACGGTGGGGAAATCACGAAACCAAAAGTTGAAAATGCTCTCTAACAAAGCGTAGGCACCCAGGAGTGACCACCATTCTACTTACTGCCGTCAAAGGAATTTTACATGCTATCCTGTGTTTCTGGAGCCATTCTTAATCCCTCTGGGAACCAAGATGGAATGATTTCCAGGGTGATGTATTAAAAATCATTTGGTTTGGTTCGGTGTGGTCCAGCAGGGGGAATGAATCAACAGCAGCCCCTGTCATTGGCTTGTTGGGAAGGCCTTGGAAAAACCTGGCTCCAGGGTACATTTTGGTAAAGTTGTTGAAAAGGAGCAGCTGCCTTCCCCTGGAGATTGCTAAGGAAGCTGGGAAGTGTCTCTGGGCTATTTATAACCATGGTTATTTTACCTCGAGGCATCCTTTCACATGCCACTTAGAATTTACTGTCAGGCACCTCCTGTGTCCTGGGACCAGTCCTGAGGAAGTTGTGAAAGTGCCTCACCGTCCAGGTGACACCGGGGGCTTGGCTTGTGCAGCCCCAAACAGACTTCCTCATTCCAGAAATCATTCTGGATCCCAGGGCACCAAGTCAAAGGACAGGGGTCCCTCAGGAGAGCAGGCGGAGAATGCCCGGCAGCCGCTCCACGGCTGGGTTTACTGCAGAGGGTTTTGCCAAGAAAACCTGACAACCTTCACCCTCCAGGGCTGGGCTGGAGCCAAGCGCTGCAAAGGAACAGCCAGGCCCTTATTTATTCTTAGTTCCCAGGGCTACAGTTGAGTCCCACTGAATTACTGTCAATTGAAGCCAACGCTGAAGCAAACGCCAAAGGAGGTTCTGAGGCCCTTTCTCAGTTTTACAGGGAACTGGAGGAACCCTGAGAGAGAATTACGAGGAGGCAGCGACAACCCACACTTACAACCCAAGCACGCAGTGCCCTCCAGGGCAATCTTTGCAGACACGGTGGTTCACAAAGAACAAGATGGCTTTTCGGAAAGTTCAAATCTCAGATATGGACCCATTAGTCATCTTTAAGAGATGAAAGGGCATGGGTTTTTACACACACACCCCTCCCAAAAAAAGTGAATGGGACTTAATATGATAAAAAAATTTTTTTTTAATCAACACATGGACTTTCTGGGCTCCACTGGGCTTCAAAAAGGCAATCAACTAAGCCCACACCAATAACATCAACAATAACATCCACTCCATGAGCTGATTCTGTCCACTCATGTCATTCATTCACTGAGGTTCTACTATAGCGAGTCCAGGTTCACAGCACCTGTACATGACCTGGATTCCAGGGGCTCGTGACAAATCCTGCTGCCCCTAAATCAGAACCAGCTTCTTGTAACTTTATATTCATTTAACTCAACCTTCCTATCCTAAGAGAGCTGAAGATTTATGGGGGGGAGGGACAGGGACACAACAGATGTATTAGGACAAAGATGAAGATTTATGCTTCAAAAACAATTTCACAGGCCAGCCAGGGCAGAATGGCTCCGACTCACAAAGTGTGGGATGCTCTCACCATTTTTGTGCATATTGGCTTCCTGTGTGGCTACAGAGGGCAGTCCCTCCATCATGGAGGTCCACTGTTTAAAGCGAGACTCGGTTCCAGCCTCCTTCCCGCCAACCATGCCATAGTCCATGCCGCTAGAGCTGAACCCTGCAACGCAGAACCAGACGTTAAGCCTTCCTGTCCATTCTGTGTGTCAGCAACCACATGTTCTGAGGCAGAGCCCAGGCGCTGCCCTTTTTCATCAAAGACCAATTCCCTTTACCAAGATACTTTGATTCAAAACTCAACTCTTGGCTCCTGTTTGTGGGGGACAAAGTGATGGCGGGGTCAAGGATGAACAGTGTGTGGTTGCCATCTGGTCTTGGAGACTATCGATGTATCTCAATGCACTTGTACAATCTCTTATTTGAAGATCCAACATCTACTCAGGGGCCAGGGGTTCTCCACCTTAGATGGCAATGTCCGCCTATCACACTCAAGTGGTGTGAGAACAGCAGGAAGGGTGTGACGCGGGTACTGGGAAGAGGAAAGGCCTAGGAGAATAAAGGTCATTGATCAAGGGCATGAGGAGTGAAGTGGAAAAGCTCTGACTCCCGACAGTCACAGTCGGCATGTTCCAGGAATGGCAAGACACTCCACGTGGTGCAATGGTTAGCTCACTGTTGGATGGAGCAAGATGGAAGAGTGGCAGAAGGTGGGGGAGAAAGGAAGAGGCGTGTCATGGAGGCTCTTGTACATCAGGCCAGGACTTGGGACCCTTTTCTCTAGGGCAAGGGATAATATTTTAAGTCATAGAGAAGTAACTAGATTGGTGCTATGAAAGAATTGGCTGTGTGAGTATGGGGTGGTCTGAGTGTGTGCCGTGTGCATAGAATCCAAGAGATCAACTTGAAAGAGGTCTTAAGGCAATGAGGGAGACCTGGGGACTGACCTGAGGCCCCCGGCTGAGGAAGCAGGCCCTTGGCAAGTGTCTGAGGGGTGGTAGTTGTGGCACTGCACGGGACTGGACAAGGGAAAAGGTTTGTGGTGGTAGCCCCAAGGGGTTTTCTGTACACCGTGGGTTTGAATATATTTAACACTTCTTCAAAGAGTACAATAAAGGCCCAAACCGAACGAATGAAACGGGAGGGGAGAGGAAGGGATACAGAAAGGTGAGGAGGAGCCATAGACGGTGTGGCCACACAGGAAAGTGTAGGCACCAGGGAGGGCTCCGCCACGGCACAGCCCAGATGCCCAACTCCACCCCCCCCCCCCACCTGTGCTCTTCATCAACTACAGCTCCGCTCTTATCCGCCTCCAGCCCCACGACCTCTTTGGCTCTCAACTTCATTTACCGCAGCCCCAAGGAAGGCCCACGTCACGGTTTTCTTCCCTGCGCTGATCCTACTGGTCTGCGCTCGCTTCACCAACACATAATAAATCAGGTTCCAATCTGCTCTCCAACCTACTTGACCTACGTTTGAAAGGCTGCTATTTTTATAAAGCACACGGTTCCATCACCTTCTTTGTAATGGTTTTCCTAATCCAAGGTTGGTTTCTTTCTTTTGGAAGAGGGAAAGCTTTAGAGATGGAAGTCTTTTTAACGAGATGATCTTTCTTTTTTTAAAGGAGGAGGAGGGTTGGGAACGTTTTCTTCTCGCAGTTTAGGTAGTGAAATGAAAGGCTGGACGATGGACGGGGAGGTTGAGAAGGACACGGGCAATTTGTGACACATGCTTTACTGGAGTGAGCCAAGTGTTCCTTGTGCAAATGACACGGTGACCTTTGACAGAGAAAACCAGCCTGGGGTCTCAGCTTCTTGGCTGCCTGAAAGCTCCACTCCAGTCACGGAGAAATAGTGCTGGCAAACAAAATAAAACGAGGGTTCTGACGAAGAGTAACGCAAAAAAATTAAAAGGTTAAGTTTAGGGCAAGGAATCATTCCTTATACATGAATTACTTTTTAAGTTGCTCTGAAACTTATTTAAAGCGCACAGCATATTAAGGTCATTTAAGCTGATCTGCTTAGACATCCCTGTGGTTGTGGAGCGTGCCATATGAAGGTGTACATCTTGGGCCAGGGACCCCGTGGAGTAGTGCCACAGCACGCTGCCCGTCTCCCACTTGTCTTGCATGCCTGCTCTACTTTCAAACCATATCATTCAGTTGCTTTATTTTGTAACTGTCTGCACTATAGATGAATATACCTTGTTCCTGATTTTCAGTCTCAGAGACAGACTTTACTTGGGATGCTTCTAGCTCTGGGGTGACGCTGGGTGGTGGTATCATGGAGCGTAATCTCAGGGTGCCTTCTCTTCTCCTGTTGCTGGCTCTCTGTGTGCAACTCTTGTTAGCATTTCTCGTAAGGTTGGTCTGATGTTTGCATATTCCTTTCATGTCTATTTATCTGAAAATGTCCTAATTTCACCGTCATGCGTGATAGAACTAAGAAATCTTATTCATGTAAGCAAGGAGCTGGAGATTGGTTTAGTAGAAGTAGAATAAGTGGGAGTCCTGCTATAACACCATTAAATTATTTTGGTTCCTCTCTAGGTATATGTCTTTGTCCCAGCCCAGGCAAAGCTACTGAAAGGTAATCTTCAGACCGACTATTATCATCTAGCCACGCGATTGTGTGAGTTTTCAATTTTGCTGTAAGCAAAGAGTTAGGAACCATCTGTTCTCCAAAAGGAACAGTTAGGGATTAGTTTAGTTGTCATTACACCTTCTGATTTGGAGAAAATATACCAAAAAGAGAGGCTTGAGCTGGATGAAAAAACTTTCAATTACGTTCGTTACCTAGAGGTTATCACTTTTTTTAGTTGGATCTACTCAGCATTCAGAAATTTAAAATATTGTTCAGTTTTATGACACCTTAGCAATGTAATTTGTGTGTGTGTGGATTTAATCTCTTCATATGATATACCATTTATACTTGAGTATAAGTCGACCCGAATACCAGCTGAGGCACCTAATTTGACCACAAAAACTGTAGAAAAAAATGTGCTGGAAAAAGTCGGCTTATACACAAGTATATACGGTATCTCTCTCTCTCTCTCTATGTATGTATGTATATATATGGGGGGGGAGATCAACATCTTATTTGATACGCAGTTTAACTCATTCAAAATACACAGCCAAATCAGATTTGCTTTCAGCCCCAAATGTTCACTTCAAATAAGTGTGATTCAGGAACTTTATAACTGATATAAATTACAATATAAATCTTATAAGACAGATAATAAAGACCTAACAGAAATCATAAAATGTTAAAAAAAAAAAAAAAAGCTTGACGTTTTTTCAGTAATTAGAAATAACACCATTAATCTACCACCACCATGTTGCTAAAAATGCTACAACTCCAACCAATATATATTTTTAATTTTAAACAAGAGGCAGAAAAATATTCAACATTATAAAAAGCCTGACCGATACTGGAAGCAGCATGTGATTTGAGGTTCTGAAGCCCTAACTAACTAAGGGATGGCCAGTGTTTTAAAGAGTGTCCCCTGTGGATTTACCTGCTACACTCTGAAAATGTGTTTCTAAGTCAAAGGACCTGGGGTCACTAACCAACGCTGCCCAAAGGTGCTTCTCCTTCCAGCTGGAGGCATGACTGATAAAAGTTCTTGCACTGAAAAACTACAAGTGCGATGGTTCTGACACTTACATGCTCCTTCCGCTTCCCCCGAGGGGGTTCCACTGGGAGCAGGCAACCCTGAGGAACAGGGCAGGCAGAGCATGACTGTGGTGTTCTGTTTCACATGACTTGTCTCAACTCTGAACTACTCAGTACATCCTAAACTTCATCCTCCAGAAAACAGTGGTGTGATAGTTAGGGCTTATTGTGCCAACCTGGCCAGTGAACACAGGTGGGATTAATTGAAGGGCGGAGAGATAAATGGCTCGGTGAACCTCACCTTTCTACTTCTCTGTTCTCTTGATCTCTGATGGTCAGACCAGTTGTGGCTACCTCAGCTAGTTCTCTGCCTCAGCTGGCAAGGCTCACTTCCTGCGAGAAATCCCTGAGAAGTCACATGGACCTACCCCGATGTAGCTCCGGGTGCTGGCGCAGCGGCCTGGAGACCCCTGCTAGCACTGAGATGCTTACACATTCGATTCGACTTTCCTCCTGCATTTGGGCGTCATTGTGTGTGTTTTGTGAGATTGAGGAGGGCTTTGTGGGTTGATGTTGGACATATGGGCTAATGGGCTTGGACTGGACTGGGTTGGGATGCTTAATGTACAATTACCCTTTATAAATAACTCTCTTATAAAGTCTGAGTGTTTATGAATTTTGTTTCTCTAGACTACCTAGACTAACACCGGTGGAAACTCCGAGTGTGGCCTGGGCAGCAGGTTCCTTAATCACTAAGGAAGCCTTCTCCTTGCTGGGTGCTCTGCCCCGAGATGAGAACACCTGTAAGTTGGGGGAGGGAGAAGTGGTTGCCTTTTTTCTCTGTCAAGTGGGAGAGACATCATCTTGAATTCCATTCAGTTTTCAGGCAGATGGTATTTTAAGGTAGAAGCAAGGGATCGAGAATGAACTTTCTTAAACCCATCAGGATCGTGGCTGCTTTAAGGTCTTTTTCCAGCCTTGTATGTGGGCAGGCTGGATGGAAGGTCACTGAACTAGAACCCAGAGGGCAGGGCAATTGACTGGGGTTGCTTCATCACCTGGGGCATGCTTTTGGGTCCTATCCCTAACTCCTGTTTTCCAGCTAATATACCAGAATCTTTTTTTTGTTGTTGTTGCTTTAAATCATTTTATTAGGGGGACATACAACTCTTACCACAATCCATACATCCATCAATTGTGTTAAGCACATTTGTACATTCATTGCCCTCATCATTCTCAAAACATGTGCTCTCCATTTAAGCCCCTGGCATCAGCTCATTTTCCCCCTCCTACCTCCTTCATGAACCCTTGATAATTTATAAATTATTTTGTCACATCTTACACTGGCCGACATCTCCCTTCACCCACTTTTTACCAGAATTGTAATACCCTGAAACGCCAATGTCATCAGGTTTTAAGAAAACACACTGTGATATGGGATACTTCCTTAGTATTTTCATTTTGATTTTAAATTCTTAGAGCCTTGCTGCTAAAATTCTGTTCATAACATGCTCCCCAATTGTGAAAGAGCTGGGATTTTCTTGCCAACAGATTCTTGATGAATGTCAAAGGTATACCCCTGCTTGCACTCGTAGTTCTATTTCATTCAGAAGACATACTGTTGGATGAATTTCATCAGCCTGCCTTGCAATTTTAGGTCCTTGTTTTTTAAGAGAAGGGAAGCTTATTAGTGGAGAAACACTTCCACTGGTAGATGTTTGATCACAATCTAGGATGTTTGTGCAGCACTCAAAGGGTGGACAGCCACTGCACCTGGCTCCTGGAAATCCCTGATGCCATTCGTGACTCTGTGGCTTTGTATTGTAGTCAGAGACTGGTGTCTTATCTCTATGATTCATCAGCTGTATAGTGAGCTTGGGGAAACTGTCAACATGCTATGGGAGCCTGAGATTTCTCCTCTGTGAAGCGGGGATAAGACATCTTGTGCGGCTGGGGTAGAAACAGGGATACTAGAGGTGTGACTTCTCGCATAGCGCAGAACATGAGAGTTCAACAAAGAGGAAAAAAATGGCAGGGTTCAGCTTACCAGAACCATATCCAGGTATTGGCCCTTTGGTTTGAAGGTCTGGGAGCCCCACATTCAGAGCGTTGGGTACCATGTTGTCCAGATGTGGCTTGGGCCCGACGGGATGAGATGGCGAATGCTTCATGCTGGGCTGCCTCTGCTGCTGCTGCTGCTGTTGCTGCAGCGCGCTCACCATTCGAGCGAGCTGCCGGGGCGGGAGGAGGTCCAAAGGGAAACAGTGAGCCTGTCTCCTGAATGTTACCAGACAAGGCTGCACATGGCCCCTTGTTGTTATCAAGACTGCTCCTCACATGGATGACTAGAGGGACCCTTCCCACCCCCACTCCCACCGCCACTGGCTGTCATCAAGCTGATTCTGAATTGTAAGAGCCCCGGGTGTCTCAGAGTAGAGCTGAGCTCCACAGGGCTGCCACTGGTTGTGACCTTTAGGAAGTGGCTCATCGGGCCATTGTCTCCAGCAGAGCCACTGCCAACCTTTTAAGTTAGTAGCCCAGAGGCAGTTTGGAGCGCCAACCTCAACCCCACTGAAGCCTCCCACCACCGGAAGGCACAAGGCCGCACCTGCTGCTCTTGCTGCTGCCGCACAGCTTGAGAAATCTTTCGCTGGTTTTGCAACAACTGCTGCTGCTGCTGCTGCTGCTGCTGCAGGAGAAGCTGACAAGCCTGCAAAAGCAGAGATGGGACGGGGTCTCCTAAGCTGGACTTACCGAGAACACCAGAACACCGGAGGGATTGGGGCATGCACTTACTATCAACAAGGAAAAGGCAGTGTCAGGTTTCTGGTCTATTAGTGACATTTACATACAAGCAGCCCTTGGGGTGCAGAAGTTAAAAGCGCTCTGCTGCTAGCTGAAAGGCTGCACGAGAAAAGGAGGTGGTCTGCTTCTGTAAGGGTGCACAGCCTTGCATACCTGCTGGGGGAGTCCTACCCTGTCTAGGAGGTTGCTATGAGGCGGAACAGACTCCACAGGACTGGGGTGGGGTGAGTTTGGGCTGACCTCTCAAACCTATTCTGGTTGCTAGAAGCAGCAGGCTCAATTTTCAACTCATAGCAACCCCATGTGACAGAGAAGTCTTGCTCTACGGGTATTTGATAGGTGTTTGCTGCCTACAGCAGACTGTCAGGTGGGTTCCAACCGCTAGCCTTTCCATTAGCTTAATCCTGGAGACACCAGGGTTCCTAATAACACTTCCCCACACAGCACAGACCTGTGAGCCAGTAACTTCAGACCTTAAGAACTGTCAGAGATAAATGAAGCAAATCAAAACTAAAGAAAGCTACCAATCTGGGGGGGAAGCGGGGAGCAGGAGGGCGGAAATATACTTTGCAACGCTAGGAGGACAAGCTGCTACTTACCAACTGAAACTGAGGCATCTGGGGGAGCTGGCTCAGCATGGCAATTTGTTGGGGAGATAACTGGAGGCCCACATTGAAGAGACCTGGGCTCAGGCCGCTGTTGGGGAACTGCTTGAGCATTGAGGCAGAAACCTAGACACACACACACACACACACACCAAGATGGGCCTTCAGAATTTACCAAATAAAACAATGATTTCTTCCTGTGAGGACGAACCCAATGGATCTAAAACCAACTGCTGTCAACATTTGCCCGCCAAATTTTAACCAAGATGAATTCTCAGTACTGAGATGCAAAACCCAAACCAATGGGGAAGAGAAGGGGAACCAATCACAAGGATCTACATATACGCTCCTCCCTGGGGGACGGACAACAGAAATGTGGGTGAAGGGAGACACTGGACAGTGTAAGACGTGAAAGAATAATAATAATTTATAAATTATCAAGGTTTTGTGAGGAGGGAGGGTGGGAGAAGGGGGAGAAAAAAACGAGGAGCTGATACCAAGGGCTCAAGTAGAAAGAGGATGTTTTGAGAAGGATGATGGCAGCAAATGCGCTTGACACAATGGATGGGGATTGTAAAAGTACGAGCCCCCCTCCTATGAAAATTTTGTTTCTGTTTTAAAAACAAAAAACTCCAAACCAAACTCACAGCCCTTTAGTCCTTTCCACTCAAAGCAACCCCCAAATAGGGTTTCTGAGACTGTAGATTTTTATGAGTGCAGACAGCCTCATGTTTCTTCTGTAGAGCAGCTGGTGGGTTTTGAACTGCTAACCTTGATGGTGGCAGCCTACAGCAGCTCTAGGACTCCTAGAGATTATAAGAGCACGTTCATTTCTTTAGACATTCTAATTTTTCTACAGTAAAAATTGTGCATTTTAGCATCAGGAAAACACCTCACCAAAAAGGAAATAATAAGGGTTTCTGTGAGAGTCTGGCTTCTGCTTAATTTGAGGAGTTATCACTGGAAGAGTGAGTGCTAGGAAATGGACACCATGAACTGCATAAAGCTAACAAACACTATGAACAAGAAAGGTATACTAATGGTGAAAACAATAGTATGCTAACCTGTGAAACACCACACTGGACTTGAATTCCTGACTTCTCAGATTGAATCCACACAAGAGTTGTAGAGGGTGTGTGGGGAGAGGTGTGAGAAACAAAGATTTCTCCCAAGTCATCTCCCCCAAATATGTTAGACTTAGGACACTGCTTGTCAAGAAGTTACCTCCCTGAAGGAAGTCAGTTGCCAGACTACTGTCTGGTCCCACCACAGGTAGGCCCCGCTCCCTGTGTTAAGGACAATGGGTTATTTCTCCCTATCGGCTTGTGACCATTAGTCGGGTCCCTGAGATGAGGCTTACATCCTACTGATAATGGTTTCTATAGTGAGCCAGAGAACAGGCCAAACCTGCTCAGTGACATCCAAAAGTTAGGCTGCCATCCTGAATCTAGGATCCGCCCATCTTGTCACACGTTTACCCCCAATCCCTCCTCTTCATATACTTCATATACACAATATACTATTGCATGTATATCCCTAGATCACCCCATTACTGTATTACCTATAGCACAACCCTTTACTGTGACGTATGGCCTCAGCTGTAATTAGGGGGCTTGCATGTCCCCAGAAATATAAAAGCCTTGGTTAGCAATAAAGATCTCTCTCTCTCTCTCTCCACGAGGACCACCATGTGAGGCCGAGGTGAGCATGCTACCATGAAATGTGAGACTCCATTATTTGACTCTCTCTTCTATCTCTCATGCTCTCTCTGACTGTACTATAATCTTTCTTATTATCGCTGTACAATTGCACCACCGGATCCGTCTACCCGTAGGAGCTGGTACACCCTGACAGAGAGGCCTGCCGTCACTGTCTCCAGTCTCTCTGGGGTCTCAGGAGTGAGTTGGGCCAGGCAGCTGCGCGATCCGGGGACAGGGAAGGATGCCCCTCAGTTCTCTGAATTGCTCATTAAACATCTGAGCTGATCGGAAATGAGTTTCCCTGTCATCCACTGAAGCCAGTGGATTCACCTTGGGGCTGGAGTGAGAGCAAGGAGGGGGTTTAGCCCTGGAGTCAGACCATTTCTAAGCTGTGTAACTGGAGCAAGTTACTCATCAACCTTTCTGAGCTCCACGTTTCAACTTCTGAAGGTCACCTGAGGGTTTTATGTGAACTACTCAGGAATGCACTCAGTAAGGGGGTCCTATTCCTCCTCAGGATGGTTCCCTGGAGTCTAGAGACCTTCCCCAGGCATCTTCTCTTCAGAAGAAACATGACCAGTTCTCTCGCCTTCATCTCATTCCACCTTTTGATAAAAAACCCCGAACAGAAGCCATTTTCTAGAGTCGCTTAGAGCAGACTATTACTACTCTTCCGGTGGAAGTCCTACTTTCCTGAACAATGCTAAAATCTCAGTTCATCTGGTGACCTTACAACTCCTTAATTCACACTTGTAGCTTACTGTCAGTTGAAATCTATAATATTTAAAAATATGTCTTGCTACTGAATCGTATCTCCCCTCCTCCGTAATTTCGGAGCAGCTGGTTACAACGGTTACCACATTGATGCTCCTGGCACAGAGTAGACACTCACTAAATACTTATTCAGCAGAAAGCCTCTATTGTAGTCTAATTTGCTAGGAGACAGGTGTTTTCTTGCGTTCCCCTCAGCTGGGTGATGGGAAGTACAGCAAAGTGGCGCTGCGGGCCACACTGTAGCTCGCGGCAAGAACTTCCTTCCCGTAGACCCCTAATCAGCCCAGGAATAGACGCTCGTTTACTAGCTGATGGGATTTTTCTAGCAGTTCGCCTCTGTGTTTCCACTCTAAACGAGGGGACAGCCGGTCACATGGTTTGCTGACAGGTAGACACATGGCGGGAGCGGGTTTCCGACCGTGTTTCTTACCAATTAATAAGAAGACCATGAGCAAGTCAAGGCTTGTTGTAAACTGTGATCGCCGAAGCTATCTCTCTGGTGATCTAGTGCAGAATCAAGGAGCCCTGGTGGGGTAGTGAGTGACATGATGGGCTGCTAACCGCTAGGTTGGCAATTGGAACCCACCAGCTGCTCGGCAGGAGAAAGGTGAGGCTTTCTTTCTGCTTCCCTGAAGACCTGTAGCCTCGGACACCCTTAGAGGCAGTTCTGGCCTGCCCCACAGAGAGACCAGGAGTTGCAACCCACTCAGTGGCAGCGAGTTTAGTTTGAAGTTAGCATCATAGCCCCAAGTTCAACAGTCTTGGGGCCAGTTTCCATATTTCTCGTTCCAAAAATGGTTTTAAATTGCTCCTCAATCATCCATTTTCTGGTGGGACAAAGGCACTCGGGCATTTTTGATCGGTGGCGCCGCATGATGGTGAGTTCTCTTCCCAGTCACCAGACTGCAGTGACCGCCATGCAGAGGGCGTTTAGAGTGGAAACACATAGGCTTGATTCTGCACTAGATCACCTTCAATCTACCTGCCTGTTTGCAAATCTCAGATGCTTTTCCGTTTTAGTCTCAGCAGAATCCTTACCGCCAATTTTATTCTTCTACTCCTCACTGCTTTTATAGCCTCACTTTCCATCTTCTGAAAATGGTCCTTTACAAACCCTGAGCTCAGCAGGAAGCGTCTCTTCTTAGCTCCATGTTCAGAGCTCATTCTTTGGCATCACCATGGGCGAGGCCGATCTATCTTTTTTTCTCTAATGTTTTCTAGTCCAGAAGCAGGTAAATCCAGGCACCCTAGAGTTGACTCACAATTGCTGCCAAGATTCCAGACACCTTCACGTAACCTATCACTCGCACCATTTGGGGAAGTACTTTCGGCTTACAGTATTAGCTCTCCCGATTGCTTCCTCTCTGGCCTGAAAGAGATGCTGAGTGCTACTACCAACCATTACCAAACCTTGTCTGAATGTCGGAATGCTTCATTTGAGGGTTGGGCTCCTCGCAGATGTGTGTACAATGAGCACACCCCGGTGTAAGCTCTGCCTCTGCACCAGTGTTAGCGTCAACAGGAAGAACTCACCTCCACAGTTTCCCTATACCAAGTTTTCTGAAGGCCCCCTCCCCCACCTTGAGTTCATGCACATCACCAGCAATGGGACTGAACTCAAAGTCTACACCAGACTCTTCTATTCTGCCCCCTGTAATGAGACCAAGGAAGACGATGTAGATGTCTCCTATGCTTTCAACCCCACATTCCAAGCAACCCAGACTCTCACCCCACCACACCTCAATGACGTATAAATCACATCAATGACATGTACAGCTTCATTCATTTTCTTTCACAACTGCACTGCATTTACGAGTGTTCCCACCCATGCGAATGTATGTCCACTCAGAACCTCAAAATATAACCTTTCTTAGCAACGCAATCCTTGTAGGGTTACAGCCACAGTGTCAGGTTCCTCCCCGTAGTGAACACCACGTGCAGACAGGGCAGAGCTGGGAGTGACTGTGTCCAAGAACCACAAGGATTTCCTTGTACTTGGATCCACAATCAAGGGTCATGGAAGCAGCAGTCAAGAAATCAAACTACAGGTTGCACTGGGAAAAGCGGCTGCAAAAAAGACTCTTTCAAGTGTTAAAAGGGAAACGCGCCACCTTTAAGAGTAAAGCGCGCCCGACAAAAGCCATGGCATTTCCAGTGGTCTCATGCGTGAAAAAGTTGGGCAAATGAATAGGCAAGACCAAAGAATTGATGCCTTTTAACTACAGGGTTAGTAAAGAACAAACACATCTGTCTTGGAAGAAGTACAGCCAGAATGCTCTTTAGAAGTTCCCAGGGGTACAGTGATGTGGCAATGGGGCCTGTCTGCCAAGATTCGGAATGGGGGATGGTGAAAACAGTCCTGGTAGTTGTATCTGGGTGTGTGTATATGTGTGTGGGGTGTTTCTGGAAGAATCTTTCTCCACTAATTAAACTTTCAAGGTAGCTTATTATATTTTATTGTATCCCTCAAGTTCCCCTTTATCGTTATTTTGACAGCTCTAATTTTTCAGAAATGTAAAAACCAACCAAGGAACTCACGAGCCCACGGCTTCATGTCGTGCCTCATCGCACATTAAGTGCATGGACTACAGTACTGAAACATCAGCTGCGTCTGGCTAAGGAAGTTCCAAAACTGCAGAGGAACACACGGGC